TCTATCTATCTATCTATCTATCTATCTATCTATCTATCTATCTATCTCTCTATCTATCTATCTATCTCTTCCAGCCTAGCTATATTCTGTCCTGCGATAGGCCAAAACAGCTTTATTCATTAATAAAAGCAACACATATACAGAAGGATACCTCATGTCATCTCCCCTTTTCTGTCTAAATAAAAAGGAAGGTTTTAACTTTAACATAGTAAAATTACATACACAAAACAGTTATCAAGCAAGAATTATAGTTAATACTATTTAGTCCATTTACTATTTGGCAAATTAAAGAAAATACTCTTTCATCTATTCTATCTTTGTGAGTCTAAAGTTTGGTATCTAATTTATCCTTTATCATAACTACGGAAAACTATAACTATAACTATCTGTCTTCAACTCTCTAAAGGCCCCAGAAGGATATAAGATTATCTAAGTAAACAGAAAGTGCATTGTAAGCAACTTTCAAAATTCTAGAATTGACAGAGATATCTTGCTGCCTGGACAGTCACTCAAAGTTCCTCTGTATCATTGGGGCATCCATCTTCAGCTTACAGGTCCATAGTATCTGGCAGACTTTTCCATGAAGCAGGAAATTTGAAACACTGTTTCGCCTATATTGCAGAGTTTATCAGTTTTCTTCTGTGTGCTGCAGAATGTCTGGTAGTTTCTTCCATGAAGCAGGAAGCCTGAAAGAACTTCTTTAGGTAAGTTCAGCAATCATTTTTCTGTGGGTCCTACATGTCCAGTTTATACAGCATAACATCAAGCAGTCCAGGCACGAGCAGTTTCTGCCCAAATGGCTAGCAAACTTTATAAGGAGTCTCTTCGATGCCAATCTTCCTCTTGAAGTAATTGCGCAGCCAGAAGCAGACATATTTCACTGTTGAGAAAAGTCTAAGTTCTTAAAACATTTTAAATACTATATTCATTGAAAGGTTTGAAGAACATCTGTCTAGCTGAAATATACTCTAGAAAACCTAACTAACATGACTACAAACTTGACTAATATAGATGACTTTATTAATTCATAATTTTAAAATATACATTACATTTTTAAATGAGCTGTATAAACATAATACCTTAACTAAGTGTAGAAATATATACATACGTACTCACACACACACACACACACACACACACACACACATACACACACAGTAACAAAATTGAGCTTAAATTTGTATCAGTAGACCAAAGTCCATACCCATGTAAAGTTTTCATCTCTCTCTCTCTCTCTCTCTCTCTCTCTCTCTCTATATATATATATATATATATATATATATATATATATATATATATATATCTCATATCACTCTTTAAATGACAACAAACATTTATAAACAATCATTTCGGGAATTTAGGCATAGGTTTCTCCAAACTGTTTCCTGCTGTTTGTTGGGTGAAGCATTTTTAGGGTTCAGGGAGACCTTTCAAAGGATATTGTTTCATAAAACCACATTAGCCTGGAAGGAATCCACAGGTTATCATCTTCTGTAGAAACAAAAGCAGAATCTTTTTTCTAAAGTAACATATCCTTAGATCCAAATTTTGAAACCAAGATACCTTTAAAATATATATGTTGATTTAGCTTAGCAACCCCCAGAATAAAATATCTCTCTGCAGTCAAAAAATTCAAATAAAACGCAATAATATTCATAACCTACACTCTCTGTGTATTTTTTTTTATTTTTGAGACAGAGTTTCTCTGTTGTTTTTGGTGTCTGTCCTGGAACTAGCTCTTGTAGACCGGGCTGGTATATATCTTTTCCAGCCTGGCTACTTTCTGCCCTGCTATAGGTCAAAACAGCTTTATTCATTAATCAATAAAAGTAACACATATACAAAAGGACATTTTACATCATTATAGTCTCACACTGTAGCCCAGGCTAGCTTTCAGCTTGCCATCCTCTTGCCCTAGGCTCCCAAATTCTGTGCTTATAGGCATGTGCAACCACACCAGCCTATGCTTCTTTTTCAATGAAAGAAAGAATGGTCCTGAAAAAGTCAAAGTCTTGTCTCCCTCTGCAGTGACACAGGTAGCTTCTTTTTCACACATTTTAATTTTAAGCATTGTTTAAAATACATTTTAACACAAAATAATTTAATTATAATCAACTCATTAATGAAAACATCCCACAGTTTTAGTTTAAGGGAGCTACCCACACGCTTGCCCAGTACCAAACTCTATCCATCTCAGCAACCTCTTCATTTTTTTAGATTTATTTTATATGCATGAGTGTTTTGCCCACTTGTGCATGTATGTGCACCAAGTTGTGCCCTCCCCAGGTCAGAAGATGCTATTAGATCTCTTTAAACCAGAGATATATACAGTTGTCAGCTTCTGTGCAGGCGCTGGGAACTGAGCCAGTATTGTATGCAAGAGCAATAAGAGCTCTTAACTGCTGAGCCATGTCTCCAGCCCCTCGGTGAACTTCTATACAGTCAGAATGTCCATGCTGAAGTCATGCAGCTTTGCTTAGGGTTTTACATTTTACCTAGCAGTTACAAAGCTATTGTTCATCCACGTAGGGTGGGAGCTATGATGGGTTTGAAATTAGAAAAATGATAGCTTTATCCTCACACCTAATATTACCCTCTCTTGGCCTCTTTCCTAAATATCATGCATATCACACAGCCGTTTATATGTCTCCACACATACAATGTAGGCTAGAATTCATGTATGAGGGGGCCTTGTGCTTTTGTTATTTCTGAGTTTCAGTGACCCTGCTTACTGCTCAGGTACCTTCTCCATTACACCAGGGAACTAGAAGACAAGTGGAGTCCAAAAGTGACCAAGGTTGAAGAGGACAGAATGGGTGTGAGCTACGTGGGAAGACTTGTGCCTATCAGAGGCTGGCATTTCTAACACAGCTGTGATGATGATGTCGCTATGATACATTATAGAGCACAAAGCGCTTGGGTAGGCTATAAAGAAAGGCAACACAATATAAGATTCCATTAGCACCACCTGACTAACTAACCAAGGGAATGGAATGATAAATAGGTAAATTTCCTCCACTTAATTTCACCCTGGGGAATAGGGGTACTGGAACGGCATGGGAAATAGCCCTTGGTTCAGTCAAAAACATCTTTGTTGGGCGGGCACTACCAGCAGCTTGCTTCCTGTCTCTGTCTCATATTAGGGAGACAAATGTGAGAGTGACCATCTGCTGGAGATGATGACCTGATTTTGGTCTTCCAGACACATATGGTAGAAGGAGAGACTCCAACAAATTTTCCTGTCTCCCATACATGAGTTACAGCGCCTGCACACACATACACACTCACACAAGTAATAAATTCATTAGTTAAATTAAGTTTTAAAATTGTTCATAGCCTTTAGTGCCCTTTAATAGCCTCAGTAGGCCATAGTGGCTCCCCTGTTACTAGTGAATGAGCAGGTTGCCATATTCATGTCTTTTTATGACATAGAGAACTAAATAACTATCAAAACTTAGGGTTTTTTTCTAGGTCTTACAATAAAAAGTTATTTACCCTGTTGAATAACTTGAAGATACAAGAAGCTAACGAATTTGGGATGGCGATACAAACCTGTAATCCCAGCACTCTGGAGGTGGGGACGGGAGTTCAAGGTCATCCTCCACTATACCAGAGCAGTCACGGACACCTGAGACCACGTTACAAAAAAGGAGGGGGAAAGAAGAGGGAGGAGGAAGAGCTAATTATGTCAAATGAGTTACTGATTTTGATATAGACAAAGCAGCAATAAAATTTATGCTATAGAAAGTTCCCTCTGTGCTGGCAGTCACTGGGATTCATGTGAGGCCATGCATCTGGAAGTACGTTGGAAGTGCGCACTGCTCAGAAGAGGAAGAAAGAGAAACCTAAAACATTGATGTTCCGGCCTCCTTTTCAAGTTGGAGTGGTTTTGAGAGTTGCTCCTTGTTGAAGAAGCAACTCCTCATGTTTATTTTCTGTCTGGCAGGTTCCAGGAAGAACAAAATTAGCCTCTGGGAGAAGAGTACTCCAAGATAAATGAGATTGCCTGGCGCTGTCTAGGTAGTTTTAGGAAAATGTGTAGCAAGCTTGCTAAAGCCGTATATTCCAAATCAAGCATTCAGCATGCCTGGAGATTTCAAGCCAGTGAACTTTTTTTTTTAACCTAAAAACAGAATCAATTTTTATTTTATCTTTTGTGGGTATCCAAGCTGCTTCCATCTCAGTTCTTCGTGCCGTGAAAAATCTCCCTCCATGTCTTCTCCCTCCTTCTTTTCCATGTGACATCGGTCATTGAGCTACTTAGAAGCATTGTTTTGCTCTTGCTTTCACTGAGAACTGCTGGATCCTTTGAGGTGTCTGCTGGAAAACCTTCCCTGCAGGGCTGGACACATTGTCTGCTTCCTTTATTCTTCCTTATTTTCTTATCCAATCCCACCACCTAAAACGCTCCCGTTATTATTTCAAATATAGAACCATTTGCTGTTCATCCCACTAGTCAACTTAGAATGCCTTTAATCATATAGGCTCTCCATCTCTCCCTTTCCATCACAGTTTAGATGGGAGGGACCAGTACAAGGTTTTTACTCTACTCTGATCTACTATGCCACTTTAAAATTGACTTTGTCTTTGGAGTCAAGGGTTCCACATTATCATTCCAGGCTGTCCTCAGAATTGCTGTGCATCAAAGGAGGACCCCACATTTCTGATCCTCCCATGTCTCTAGGTCCCTAGAGTTGGGATTATTGGTATGGGCTGCGTGCCTACTTCATAAAGTATGGGGAAGGAGCCCAAGGCTTCATGCTTGCTAGGGAAGCACCCTATCAACTGAGCTAAGTCCTCACGCCCTGCTATGCAATTTTTAAAAACATATAATTGTTTCCTAGGCTGGCCTGACACTGCTGGCTCAGGTGATCCTTCTGCATCAGCCTTTCCATAACCTGGACTATAACTGTGTCCCAGAATCCCCCTGTTGGTGGGGGTTAAATAATTGCCAACGCCACATTTGAGCTTTAAAGAATTGCTCCATGCACTGCCCAAGTCCCAATAAAAACGGAAGGCAGGCTGGGCACACAAATGACCCAAATATCTACAGTGTGGGTCACTGTCACTGATGGACATTGTGCCTGGCACAACCTGTGACTTAAAAATAATAATAACTATGTATTTGTTTAGTGTGTGCATGTGCATATGTGTGCCAGAGTGTGTATGTGGAGTTCAGAGGACTACTTCCAGGAGCTGAGTCTCTCTTTCCACCATGTGGATCCTAGGGATGAAACGCAGGTTATCCGGCTTGCAGGTCAAATGCCTTTACCCACGGAGCCCTCACCAGTCTGTAATCTGTGATTTTACAACAGTTGTGATCACCATCATTGTAACAGCCAATTGTGTCCTCATTGCCCCTCTACATTCTTCCGATTCCTGTAATTGCAGGATGCAACCTGATGATAACCACCATGCAACCATGCACCTGCTGCTGTCACCTGCTGGGGGTAAGCTGCGGTGCTGTGCCCTGGGCTGGGTCACCTGCTGGGTGGTACGCTGCAGTGCTGTGCTCATATCAGTCTTTACAAAGTAATTTTTCTTTAATAATTTATTTGTTTTTGTTTTATGTGCATTTGTGTGTTGCCTGCATGTATGTCTGTGTGAGGGTGTCAGATCTTGGAGTTATAGGCAGTTGTTAGCTGCCATATGGATGCTAGGAATTGAACCCGGGTCCTCTGGAAGAACATTTAGCGCTCTTAATCACTGAGTCATTTCTCCAGCTCAAAACAATTTTTTTTTCTTTTTTGGTTTCTCTGTGTAACAGCCCTAGCTGCCCTGGAACTACTCTGTAGACCAGGCTGGCCTCAAACTCACAGAGGTCCATCTGCCTCTGCCTCCCGAGTGCTGGGATTAAAGGCGTGTGTCACCATCACCCGGCTAAGAGGTAATTCTTAAATTATCAAAAATTTCACAAATCGGTTGTCGTACTGCCACCATTAGAGCTGCTCAGTCAATAAAGTACCTTCTGTGCAAGCATGAGGACCCAAGTTTTATCCTCAGCACCCATCTTTAAAGCTTAGGCATAGTAACACATACTTGTAATCTCCCTGCTCTGGAGGCAGAGATAGGAGGAGGCCTGGGGTTCCCTGGCCTGCCAGGCTAGACTATGGGTGAATCACAGGCTGGTGAGAGGCCTCTCTCAAAAACTAAGGTTGATGGTACCTGGGGAAACAAACCGAGGCTGGCCTCTGGCCTCTGCAGACATACAGATACATGTGGTGTGCATGCATGCACAGACACATGCAAAAATACATGTAATGTGTATGCATGCATGTGTACACATACACGTCACTCACACTGGGAAGGGGTGGCATGCAAGTTCACACATACACATCACTCACAGTGGTGGGGGAGCGACGAAACCCCTAGGACTGAAGAGATGCCAAGTAACAGAGTACAGAACCCAGTGGCCATGCTGGGCAGCTCATAACTGCCTGCAACTTCAGTTCAGAGGAACTGAGGGCTCTGCTCTCTTCAGAAACCTGCACTTTCATGCATGCACCCACACATACACACTGTGCTGGTTGGTTTCCGTGTCAACTTGATGGAATCTAGACTCCTCTGAGAAGGAGGGACCTCAGTTGAGAGAATGCCCCCACTGGAGTGGCCTATGGACATCTTCTTGATAGATGACTGATGTGGAAGGTCCCAGACTACTGTGGGCTGTGCATCCCTAAGTGGGATGTCCTGGGATATATGAGAAAGCAAGCAGAGAAAGTCATGGTCAAATCAGCAAACAACACTCCTCCATGGCCTCTGCTTTAGGTTCTGCCTCCAGGACCCTGCCCTGTCTTCTCTTCATAATGAACTGAGATCAGGGTGTGTAAGCCAAATAAATCCTTTCCCACCAAATTGCTTTTGATATTTTATTATCTATAGAAAGCAAACTAGAATATCTATCTATCTATCTATCTATCTATCTATCTATATCTATCAAACTAGATCTTAAAATAGCTAAATCACACAAACAAGCAATGAAATAATTATTTTCATTAAAAGAAACAAAAATGACTGTTTTAGATATGCATGGTACTGCATACCTGCAAGCCCAACATTCAGGAAGCTGAGACAGGGGGATGGCAAATTTCAGACCAGCCTGGTGTGAATTAATCTAGTCAATGGATTTTAGTTCTTCCAACATGTCCAGGTTGCTATTCAAATCTCAGTGAGAAAAAAATGATTTTTGTATTGTCCTTCTAAAACATTTTTTTTTAGTTTCTAATAGTATAAGCTCTTACCTCTGCTTGGGCTTGTTCACAAGTGCATAGCAGCACAACCCTGCAGGAATCCACGAGTGTTCACAAGTGCACAGCAGCACAACCCTGCAGGAATCCACGAGTGTTCACAAGTGCACAGCAGCGCAACCCTACAGGTATCTATGAGTCATGGGTATGATTCCCAGACCTGGTGTTGTCAGACTCCTGTCATCCCAGCACTTGGGATGCAGGAGACTCAGAAGTTCAAGGCCATCTCCAGCTATATAGTGAGTTCTAGGCTAGCCTGGGCTATGTGAGAGCTAAGGCTCTCCAAATAAAGCAGGCTCTCACAGAGCACCCTTGACATTTTATCAGGCATGTTCAGGTTTGGCAATGACCTGAGGAACTGCGTAGTGAAAGAGCAGTGACCGCGTGCGGCAGGGCCGTCCAGTAGGCCCTGCTGTCCGGCCCTCTGCTAGTTAGGCCCTCTCTCTAGTTAGGCCCACCCTCTCCTCTTCTCTTCACATGGCTAGTTCTCTTGCTTTTATTGCTTTAAGAATGAAAAGAAAAAGAAATTGACTCCCAGTGTGTGTGTGTGTGTGTGTGTGTGTGTGTGTGTGTACACAAGTCCTTGTAAGTGCAGGTGCATGAAGAGGACAGGCGACAAGGCCAAGTTTCCACCTCTCCTATTCTCTCCTTTATTCCCGTGACACAGGATCTCTCACTGGAGCTGGCCTGCATAGGAAGAACCCTGCTTTCCAAGTCACTGTTAGGGGTTCTCACTCAGGTCCCCTGGCTTGGACAGCCAACACTCCCTTTCTCAAGACGTTTGATTCTTGATTTTCTTTTCTTTGCATGTCAAAATAGTCTTTGAAATCAGAAATAGAAAAGCACTGAAGAGAAACCTTTGCCCGCCCCTTCCCTTTCCTTTCCCTCTCTCCCTCCTCCCCCCTTTCATTCTCATGTAGTGTGAATTCTAATTGGTCTTAATAACCATACCTGGAGTCAGATGTCAGGGTAAATACAGAAGGATCAGAGAAGTAAGGAAGCCAGCCACTAGAGAGACTTTTACCTCTACCGAATCATCAGATCAAAGTGGGCAAGACCCTGTCTCCACAAATCCTCAGAACAAATGCACTGAGCTCCTGTCTCCTCTTGCCTAACCATATCCTTTCCTGTCTCCACCTCCTTAGTGCTGGGATTAAATGTGTGTGACTCCCAAGTACTAGGACTAAAGGTACGAGCCACCACCCCTGGTTGTTTCTCTTTTAGATTGCTCTGCTGATCTCATCTTTCAGTATTGACCCCTATATCCGACTCTGGGTTCTTATTATTAAGACCAATTAAAAAGAGCAATACATTCTGGTGAAACAGGTCTTATTATGTGGCCCAAGGTGGCTCAGAATTCTCGGTTCTCCTGCCTCAGCTTACTGTGTGCAGGGACAGTGACCAGCACAATCAGGCCCAGCTGACAGAGTCTAGGACTCAGCCCTGACAAGCTCAATAGAGGCCTGAGTCGCAGTAGTTTACCCCAACCTAGTTCCAAGAAAGACCACAAACTGAGACTACCCAGGCACCACCCAGGAACAGACCATCCAAAGGAAATTCCTAAGGTACCAGCCATTGTAGATAGGATCATCTGTCAGCACACACCCATTGCTTTTCACCAGGACACCCCTAGACGAATGTCAGCCAATCAGGGGTCCTAAACCTTAGAGATCCCTGACCCCCATCTTTGCTACTATAAAAACCCAACCCCAACTGTGCTCAGGGCTCTCCGGTCACCCATCACTCTGACCACTTCAATACGCTGGACACAGAGGGAGTCCGAGTTTGCAAACTTGTGTAAAAATAAAGGCTCTTTGCTTTTACAGACAGGACTCGGTCTCCTAGTTGTTTTTGAAGGGAACTCTGTGATCCCTTCAAGAGCTTTGGCCATTTCAAACTCAGTGCCTTGCCTTCAAGTCCCAACTCCCTCCCCGCCCCAGGGGTGGTATGATTACAGTACGTCAGGATCAGACATTTGAACTTCTTAAGACTAAAGAGGCTTAAATTCAGGAGAGCCTTGGTGACCTCCGAGAAGATGGTTTGCGAAGTAGACTAAGTGGGCAGGTTTGCTCCAGAGCTGAGGTAAACAACAGTGCGGAGACAAGGGTTCCCATAGGCTCCCAGTGTGGCGGAGAGGAGGAAGGCGCAGGCAGAGCAGAGAGGGTTCCCAGCCACCGGGCTCAGAGCGCTGGAGTGAAGGGGGCGGGCATCCGGAGAAGCAGCGTCAGGACGTAACTCAGGTCAAATTTCTACCTTCTAAGGGTATTTATGTCACGAAGAAAAAGCCCTGCATTCCCTGTTAAGACTGGAAATTTCCACTCTACCCCACCCCCATCGAAGGCCGCAAATTCGCTGTGCAGCCAAGGACAACCTTGAACTTCTGACTCTCCTGCCCCTGCGTAGGAAGTTCTGGGTTCACAGGTATTTGTCAGCACAGCTTTAAACAGTGCTGGGAACTGAACTCCTCGGTTTTGTGTGTGCCGCCCACTAAGCCACATCCCCAGCACGTTTTTATTTACAATGAAAAATCGAAGGTTGTTTAACAAGTACTTACTCAAAAAATATCCATATTTTCTACATTTTCTTTTTGCTATAAGAGCGGGCATAACTCGTATAACTCGTGATTTTTAAAATTTTGTTATTTTTAGAAGGAACAACAAATTTTGGTTTTTTTTTTTTACTTTTTTGCCATGACTTCATATTTTTTTCTTTTTTTTTTCGAAAAACTATAAATAGACAGAGACAACCTCTGTCACTGATGTCTCAGCGCGAGGGAGCTGAGCAGACATTTTTCTGACCACAAGTTCTGGCAAGGGACACTGTGGGGCAGAAATGTGTAGGCGGCTGTGGAAAGCAGGGAGGGAAGCAGATGGTGACTTAATTTGTATAAAGGGCTGGTATGGGTAGAATTTCTTCCCTCCCCCTCCCAAAAAGATACACTAAAAGAGTGCTCCCACCAATACCTCCAAAGGTGGCCTTACTTAGAGATATTAATGTCAGGTCTCAAACCCAGGACACACGCTGTATGCCAGGTTCTCCCAGCAGCACTCAGACCCTACCTGTTACAGGGTATGCCTGGCAAATCCTGCCCCCTATTCTAATCGTGGTGATTGTGTTTGAATGAACTCTTTGGGTGGGGGGGTCTTCGCCTATTAAGACATTCTTTTATAAAGGGAAATTAAGAGAAACAACAGCAACAATCAGCCATTTCACAATGTCCAGGCTGGACCACCAACTGCTGGAATGCGAGAGGTCCGTCGACGGAAGCCTCTTGAGTTGCTGGCATTTAGAGGCATGTACCACCATGAAGGGCTTTAAAACCGGGAGAGTCAGTTACTGGTGGCCACACAAAGAAGGGACTGTGCCTGGTAATAAATGATTGTGGATGAAAATTCCTGGAAGGAAGCCGCCGCACCGGTTTGCCCATATGCTGGTCGGAACTACAAGGACTGTGGAGAGGTTAGGGCCTTGCAAGTCCATAGCTAGTCTTTAGCTGCCTTCTTGTCATTTACTGTATACCTCTGTGTTTGACCTAATATCTTTGTGACTAGTAGGTGAACACTTCGAAGTGCACAAACAGATCCCAAACAGCCAAAAGGCTAAGAAGGCAGTCAGATAGTTTCTGAGGCCTACAGCAGAGACACCCCCACTTTGTTGAAACCGACTTACCTGATGTTTCCACAAATGTATTTCAAAAGCGTCTTTACTTATGACTTCCTTTGTCATACTGCTATAAAAACTTCAGTAAACCATTACCATGGTAGAACATGGCATTTGGGGAAAACCTGATGGTGTTCCAGGGCCATGGTCACTCACGCTTTGCTCTAGAATAAACCATCTCGGTGAAAGCTGGGTTTTTGCATTGTCAAGAGGAAGGCAGGGATCGTGTGGCAGGGTGGTGGGACCAAGGAAAGAGAAACATCAGGTTAACCTGTGAAGAAAACCACTTGTAGAAAGACTGGAGACCCGTCCACCAGGGCTTTGGTTATAAAACAGAGCATACACACAAAACCCCTGGTGCTCCAAATTCAGGAGAAGGCAGGTGCTGGGGAAAGAACCCAAAAGCCTCATGCTATCTGATGCTTTTGAACCTTTGACCTGGCCAACCTTGTGGAGGGCCGCAACCACATTCTCCATTACAAGATGGCGCTGGCATCCGGCCTTACCGCCTGGTGAACAAGATAACGCACATGTGCTTGGTAACTTTCCACTGCTGTCCCTGCCTACTCCTGAGGCATCATCTGGGTTGATGGGCAGCGGACCAATCCAAGAGTGACACGTCCGAAGCGAGGACTGTTTCCTATATAAGGGATGGGTTCCCCTCATTCTGGTTCTCCGCTTTGTAAGCTTATGCTCTCTCTCTCTCAAGACGCATTAAAGCTTTTCTGCAGAAGGATCCTAAGTGTGCCGCGTCATTCTTGCTGGCGAGACGGTAGCGCGGGACACAACCTCTCTGACCCACTTCCATTCTGGGGACTGCTTTTTTTTCTTCCTTAATTGTCTATTTCTATCACTGTCCAGTGTGTCTGTGGATAAATTATTTGTTTCTTTACATGAGAACCTGGAAATCAGGGGACTGGGGAAGTGGCCCGGTGGTTAAAATGTCTGTTGTGCAACACAAGGACCAGAGTTCAGATCCCCAGAACCCACCCACATGCTGGGCGGGCACGGCAGCTCATGTGCAGTTGCTGCCTTGGGGAGGCACAGACAGGGGATCCCCTGAGCAAGCTGGCAGGGGAGAATAGCCAAATGGTGAGCTTTGAGTTTGATTGAAACTCTACCTCATCCAATAAGGTAGAAGAGCGTTAGGCAAAGATTCCCAAAAAAAGCTCAGGCCTCTGTATTCAGACTCCCACACACATGTACCCATACATACAAACACAAATGAGATGAAAGAAGAACTTCGAAATCTCCATGGCACATATGCGAAGGCCAGAGGACAACTCGGTACAGTCGGTTCTCTCCTTCCACCTTCATGTGGGTTCCAGGTTTGAGCTCAGATCACCAGGCTGGCACAGCAGTGACTTGATAAGCCATCTATCTCTCTGGTCTCTGGGATTATTTTTTGTTGCTGTTTGGTTGGTCTTTTTTTTTTTGACAATATCTTGTGTAGCTCAGGCTGACCTCCAACTTGTTCCATAGCAGAGGGTGACCTTGAGCTTCTGATTCTCTTGCCTCTGAGTTCTGGGATTACAGGCATGCACTACTGTGCCAGGTATTTATTTGGTGCTGGGGATCAAATTCATGTTCCCAACCTAGCTTCACTCCATTACCTGTTCTGGCTTTTGCCTTTTTCAAAGCCGTCTCCAAGGATGATTGCTCATAGGTGTTAGGCTACCTTGTCCATCCTGGTCTACTCCCTACAATAAGTTTGACTTGTGTGAATTACCACAGCATTTGGCTTATTGAATGCTTTTGTGTCAGCAAAGGTCATTTTATGGCAGAGAGAGCAGGTTTCCTAGGGAGAGCAGCAGGGGTCTTCAGAGGGCCTGTGGTGTTGAATGTGCTCTGATACCAACTCCTGCCATGGCTGGCCTTTCTTTATTCCATGTAGGCAAAGCCACTTAGGGTTATTTTAGGCTCAGTGTGGGCATCATTCCTTGTACATGTGCCTCCGTCCGCTTTGGCTCCCCTACTGAAGGGAGGGCACCAAAGAATGACGATAAGAATTAAATGAATGAGTCTTGGGGAGAATATGTATGTGTTCCTTTGTACTCATTTCAATAGCATGTTCCATCGTGACTCTGGATCTTGCAGAACCCACAGAAGCCCTTCTGGGTCATGGTAATTATTTTGCTCTTTGCCTTCACCTTGCTAGGTATTATCCCAGTGTGTGAGATGGGGTCTTGCTGAGGCAGGCAAGCTCCTGAGCCAGGCTACACAGACAAATAAGATAATTGTTTCTACCCTTAGCAAAAATAAATTGAGACAGTTTCTATTCAAGAGTATTAGCAATATATGCAACAGGAAGAATACAACAGCTGACCCAGCCAGAATTGGTTTTAGGCACATGTGCAACAAGGAAAAACTGTGAGATCCTTCTAGGGAGAACCACTTATTTACCATCTTAGGCCTCTGCATAATTAGGTGTGCATATGATTAAAATCAGATGCACTGTGGGAAAGGATAATCAAGTAGGAAATTGTAAGTGTGATATAATCTGTCAACCAAAATAGAGAACCACCCAAGCTTTATCCCTTAGTATACAGTTTCTCCTTCTGTAATTGGGGTCCTTCAACACTCTCATTCATGTGACCCACTGAGTCATGACAATATGTCCCTCCCTGGTCTGTATTATCTGTTTTCTCTGACTAGAGGTACCTTGCTACTTTTGTAAATATATGTGCGGCCTTATTTCCAAGCCTTTGCATAAGAGGCCAAGACCTGGAAACACATGCCCAGGCCCTGACCACTGGTACGCTCTCAGATCAGCATTTTCCCCAGGTAGTTCGCTTGAACCACATCATAGAGTTAGGAAGGTGTTGCAAGGCAGGAAAGTCAGACTGCGGCAAAGGGGCCTTCAGATGGAAGCAACAGCACAAAGCTTCTCCCACCCAGCTCTCAGCCTAGACAGACCAACAGTGAGCTGGGTTGGCTGAGCGCCGAGGCAATCACCTGTGGCTAGAAGAGGCATAGCTAAGAGGGAAAGCACCACTTGGAGGAGCTGCCTGAACTAGAACAGGAGATGGAGTCCAGGGAGGAGCGTGGAGGTGCTGGGTGGGGGTGGGGAGATCACACTGATCTCAAGTTTTTCTTTAAGATGCATCTTATTCTTTTAAAATTATGTGTATATTCATATCTGTGTGTTGGGGTGTGAGCGCGAGTGCAGGGGTTGGGGTGTGAGCACGAGCACAGGGGTTGGGGTGTGACTACGAGTGCAGGGGTTGGGGTGTGAGCGTGAGTGCAGGGGTGGGGTGTGACTACGAGTACAGGTGTTGGGGTGTAAGCGCGAGTGCAGGGGTTGGGGTGTGACCATGAGCGCAGGTGTTGGGGTGTAAGCACGAGTGCAGGTGTTGGAGTGTGAGCGCGAGTGCAGGTGCTTGGGCCGGGCAGAAGGGAGTGTTAGATGGAGCCCCGAAGCAAGAGTTACAGGCAGTCTTGAGCATCCGGATGCAAGTGCTGAAAACCAAACTTGGGTCCCCTGTCAGTGTATGTGCCCTTAACTACTGAGCTATTTGTCCAGCCTTCCTTTAACTTTTTATCCATCTTTGTCACAAATCCTCTTGAGCAAGGACACATGAGCTGAAGAGACAAGGTTGGCAGGAATCAGCTGCCTGTCTACAGATAATAACATGGGTCAGGAAAAGCACTACTCCATGAGAGTAGGCAGGGACTTGAGTATTCATTGAGTATTTCATTCATTCATTAGTGTACAATGGTTCTGGGTAAGAAAAGGCCAAAGCATGGAAACCAAAATCAGGAACTGGGCACACATAAAGAGTCAAAGAGTTGGGGCGCAGTCAGTTGGTAGAGTGCTTTACCGGTGCTAGAAGCTTTGGACTTCATGCCCAGCACCACATCAAGATAGGGAGAAATAAAAAGAAATCAAGAAGTGCAGGAGAGTAGGGGAGAGTTCATCATAAATTTAGTCCAAGCTTACAATGTAGAGATGAGAACCCCAATGGACCTTTTTCTTAGTTGCTGCCAATATATTTCCCATTTTGTTTTTCTTCTTACCATTTGTGTACACTTGGTGTAAGAGGTTCTTCTGTCTATGTGTTGCTATCATTGGCTGAATAAAGAGACTTGCTTTGGCCTTTTGATAGGGTGGAACTTAGGTGGAGTAGACCGAACTGGATGCTGGGAAGAAGGGCAGTGTGGCAGACGCCATGGTCCTCCTGCCCGAGATGGATGCTGGTTAGACTCATGCCAGTAAGCCACGGTCAAGTGGCGATGCACATTAATGGAGATAGGTTAAACTAATATAGGAGAGTTAGCCAATAAGAGGCTAGAGATAATGGGCCAGGCAGTGTTTAAATGAATACAGTTTCTGTGTGGTTATTTCGAGCATAAGCTAGCCGGGTGGGACAAAACAAAAGGACCCACTCTCCCTACGGTCAAGTCAGGTGTTATCCTCCATCACTCTCCAACTTCTCTTTTGAGGCAGGTTCTCTCACTGAACCTGGAGTTCTCTGACCCAGCTAACTGGCTGCCCAGTGAGCCCCAGGAGTTCTCCTATTTCTGTCTGCAGTACAGCCCTACCACCCTGGGTGCTAAACTCAGGTCCTTTTCCCACTGAGTCATCTCCAAAGCTTCCCTACTCTGTTGTGCACACCTGTTTGGGGACTGAATTTTGAAATGGCTGCTGTTACCTGCTTATTTGTCTTTTCTTTCTCAAGAGAGGAGATTATGTTAGGAGTTATAGTTATTTGAATTTTCTGTTGATTTGCTGCCTCCATAAATAGGCTGTTCCAGTCTAGTACTCCGAAGGCACTTATCTCCAAAGAAGGCAAAGATAATAAGGAATAAACAAAGAAGCGATTATCAAATCTGTGCACAGAAGGAAAGTGTAGGCACGGAGATTAGCTTACAAATGCGCCTTATGTTGTCTTCCCAATGCTGCGTGCTCATTGTTCCCAGTAGGGACGGACCACCTTGGAGTTCTTGTGTTTGCTCTATGTAGTATTGTGTGAGAAAAAGAAAAGATAACTGTACTTCAGAAGCTATATTACACTCTAAAAATAATCTCCCTAGGCAGGTGAGGTCGCTTAGCGGTAAAGGCACTTGCCACCAAGTCTTAGTTCAATCCCCAGGGCCAGTATGGTGGGAGGAGAAAATTATCTTCCCTATGTCCTTGACCACAAGTGAGCTGTGATATGTACACACCCCTCACTCACCCACAATAGATAAATGTAATAAAACAATAATAGTTGTGCTAAAAATAATAATTTCTATGCATCATAAAAGCTTATATGGGTAGCTAAGTGGAAAACTGCTTGCTGTCTTTAATTCAATTGAAATTTTTAAAAATAATTTTTAAAGCAAGTATGCACATACATGTGTGTGTGCATGTGTTTGTGGTATGTGTGTGTGCACTTGAATATATCTGTGTGGTATATGTGTCTTGTGTGTGCATGTGTGTGTGTGAATGTGTGTAGTGTGTGTAGCAACATAGCAAGCACTTTTTGGTGAGACCTGAATTAGAACATGTAGGCGATACTTACCACACTTAATAACATAGACATCTGCAATAATTAATGTTTGGGAGAAAGAATTGCATTTTACTTCATCTTTGTTCATTCAGAAATGGAAATAATAAAAACTCACAGAATTAGGG